GTCCCCTTCAGTGTACTGGGGCATTAGGACCCACACAGACTGCAGGTTAAGTGCCCCATGCTGGCCTCACTAGCACCCATGTTGTCTCCCATCCGGGGACTGACCGGGCGCAGCCCTGCTTAGCTTCAGTGGGCGACCATGTAGGAGTTGCAGAGAGCTAGCTGCCAGCATATATACAGTAGAAGAGAAAGGTGTTTTTGTCAAGAATTGTCAAGCCGACTCACCTGTGTGAACCACACTTCATAAATGCACAATGTTTTTTTTCTTTTTTTAGATACAAAGTGATTGTAATGGGGCGATCACACCTGACGTGGCTTGCACAAATAAATCTAAGTCATTTGATCAAAAAGTCTTAAATTTGCTGTTCTAGGTCTTAAATATTTTTGCAGAGGTCTTATTTTTCCAACGTCCATGTAACATCTAATGGTCATTTAAATAGTTTTTTGTTGTTGTTGCTTGGTTTTCGTGGTGTTGAAGTTCTTTATTTCGTTAGTCCAAATATAATTTGCGGTATTACAACTACAAATGAGACCGACATGCAATAGCCAATCCGCTTTCTGTTATCGAACTCAGTGCACGCGGTGAATGTGATGTCATTGCTGTGTTTGCGGAGGTTTGCTTTCGGTGCGTGCAACATCATTTTGGCTGGCGGAGTGAACAAATTTCGGGTGAACAGTTCTCTCAGCACCGCGTTTGATTTGAGTTGAATAAGAGTCACTTTGAAGAGATTTTGTCTGAAACGCCTGTACAGACATCTTAATGATGCATCATAGAGATAACCTGATGACCAATATATTATTCTTGGCTAGAAATTGCAATAGCTGTGGGAAAGGAGAAACGTTTTTGAAAAAGTTTAGAAAAACCTGAGGGATAAGTTAGTTAAAACAAACAAACAAAAAAAGATTCCATGGCAAAAGTGGAGACCCAGGTGGTTTTAATATTACAGAATGTTTTTCCACCATTCATAGGTTTCACGCTGATGTAATAGATTACAATTTTGAAGTTAAAACAATGTAATAGATACAAACTAAAATAAAATAAAAAATAATGTCTTTGATAACTGAAAAGGAATATATGAACAATATATGAATCAGTTTACAAAATAATGATGCCCAAATTTTAGGTTTTATTGGTGTTATGGACAGAGTTGTTGCCATTATTGCCTTTTTAGCATATGAGTATAGGACAGAAACTAACCAGACAGAAATGTGTCAATTGTAATATCCCAATAATATCAATATCTCAACAGCCAACACGTCAATTAAAAAAGCCTTGTCTGTTTCATGAGGTGCTCACACAGTCAGTGAAGGTCCACCATGCAGCGACCGGCGAAAGTATAAATCAGCCTTAAGATGTATATTTTTTATTTATTTCTTTATTTCTTTTTTTATTTTGTAGTTCAGACTCAGTAGTCCATCTAACCTGTCTTTAGTACTTTTTAATTTAATATATATAAATATTTCACCACTAATTTTGTGATTTTTGCATTTTCTCTCGCGTTTTTAATAACGTGATATAGGTCTTAAATTTAATACTTAATGGTCTTAAAAAGGTCTTAAAAAGTCTTAAATTTGACATTATGATGTCTGCAAAAACCCTGAATTACTCATCAAAAGTAATTAAACGCATGAATATTTTGAGCTTACTCTCTTCCTTTGCACATCAAATTCTCTTCATTTGCTCCTGAAATTCACTTCACAATAGAGGCAGATTCGCTTCATTCAGTTCCGTTGCTAAATGGCTGACATAGATTGGATGCCTGGGTTCTTCAGAGGTGCACCCAGCTCTGTGAGTTCATAAACTCCTCCAGAAGCTGTGCAAGCTCAGCAGAACTTCTGACTGAGCCGGGCTCAGTTTGAGGAGTTGTTGTCTCGTGTCTGCAGGATTTTCACCTTGGGAAACCAACAACAGGCTCTATGTCAAAATCACACCCCATACTACAGCAAGCTTCTGATTTGTTAACATAACAACAAACTAGTTCCTACAGAAAAAAAAAATGCTAACAACATGCTAACACATGTATGCTATCATGCTAATTTATGCTAGAAACATGCTAAGCCAGACAAGAAGCATGCTAACAAAATTCTTATTCATGCTAACAACATGCTAATTCATAATAGAATCATTTAATCGGTGCAAATGTCTGCCAAAGTTAAGATTTTTCAACTCCAAAAATTAGCATGAATTTCACGTTAATCGTGTTAAACGCCTCGAAACGCTCAATAGAGCCCCAGGATGTCTAATCACATCTTTGCATTGACTTAACATAAAAGAGTGTTTTCTACAGCTGGTTTGTCAAGCCTACCCACATGTATAAGGCTATACAAGTTCTAATTATTTTGAATGTCGATAATGTCAAGGGCTTATTTTTTGTGAAAACCATGACAACCTTTAATTAATAAATGTATTTATTAAAATAAAGGTATTTATTAATCTTGATAAATAAAAATTTTGCTTAATTAAAACTGACACAGAAGCTTATAACTTGCAAACAACTGTAACACTGGCCCACAGTAGTAATCATAGTTCTATATAGTTCTATATATAAGAGTCTATTTTTATTTTTTAATCATGCCTAGTAATAATTTATATATATATATATATATATATATATATATATATATATATATATATATATATATATATATATATATATATATATATATATATATATTGAAATATAAAAATTGAAAATATTTATTCAGTTTTATGAATTTATACATTTTAATTCAAGATTAATGAATGTATTTTCTACACACAAATTAGGATATTTTAGATGAAATCCTAGAGCTCTCTCATCTTCTATAGACAGTTTTTTTTTTCCAGGTAAACTGCTGTGGTTTCCTTTGAATCCAGGAAAATTCTTTCAATTTCTGGCATCTAAAGTATTACCTAACGTCTCATAATTTATTCTCTTTCGAAACGAACACATTTTTGACAAATCGAGTAATAATCTAATTCCAAAAGCTGATCTATAGAGAGTGATATATTGAAATAGTTCAGCTGTATTTTACATCTAAATGACAGTGCTGGCAATTTGAAGAGACATTTAGACGTGAGGCTGCCATCAGTCATGAATAACTGCCCAAACATATCGCTCTAAATTTAATGTGCAGTTAGTCCAGTGAAAAGAGGTAGATGAGCTTTCATGAATGGCATTTTAAAGGAAATGTTCTCCTGAAATCCATTTGCTGAAGTGTAAAAGCAGAGCTACAAACATTACTGAGAATTGGAGTCGTAACACTTAGGATTTTTCAGTGAAACAAGAAAATGGCTGTGATTTGTAATAAGAGAGGTCTATTACGTCATGTGGATGTGACGATTATGCTGGTTGGCTTAAACAGCTGTCACCATCTTTGCTTGTGCTATTGTTTACTCTTGACGCTTCAATCCTGCTGTCATTTTAGATGTGTGCACCATGATTGGATCTTTTCATGAGAATATGTGTGGAGATCTTTTTTCTTCCTCATGTCATGCTAGAGTGATGACATAATAGGCAGACCGCACAATGAAAAATGGACTCAAAAGAATTTAGTATCCATTTCATATCTAATCTGTGTGCCAGCCTTCATCTCTATTTAGAAAATGCAATTTGAAGACTTAAAGAGGCAAACGCACCGAGTGAATGTATTCATTTGTCGATGGTCTTATGATTAAAATTGAATTATGTAAATGTATATACTGTAAATGATACATAATTATAACACTGAAAAAGATACAAAAGTAAAAAATATTACATCTAATTGGCATGTAACTGATTATATTTTCATGTAAGGGAGCATTTACTAAAGGGAAGTTCACCCAAAAAATTTAATTCTGCAAATAATCACTCACTCTAATGTCATTTGAGTCCTTTGTTGATCTTTGGAACACAAATTAGGATATTTTAGATGAAATCTTGGAGCTCTCTCATCCTCCATCGATAGTTGTTTTTACCACATTTATTAAAGGGTTAGTTCACCCAAAAACTAAAGTATTTTAATAATTACTCACTCTCGTGTTGTTTCAATCTCTTTAGACCTTTATTCAGCTTTGAAACACAAATTTAAATATTTTTGATGAAATCCTGGAGCTCTCTCATCCTCTATAGTTGTTTTACCACATTCATTGAAGAGTTACTTCACCCAAAAATATAAATTCTGTTATTAATTACTCGCGATCATGTAGTTTTAATCCACCAAAACCTTAGTTTATATTTGGAACACAAATTATGATATTTTAGACGAAATCCTGGAGCTCTCTCATCCTCCATAGACAGTTGTTTATCCACATTTATTAAAGAGTTAGTTCACCCCCCCCCCCCCCCCCCAAAAAAAATGTATTCTGTTATTTCTCACTCTCGTATTGTTTCAGTCCCCTTAGACCTTCATTGATCTTCTGAACACATATTAGGATAATTTAAATGAAATCCTAGAGCTTTCATCCTCCATAGGCAGTTATTTTTACCGCATCTCATAAAGGGTTAGTTCACCCAAAAATGAAATTTCTGCTATTAATTACTCAACCTTCTAATGTTCCAGTCCCCTATAACTTTCTTTCATCTTTGAAACAGAAATTAGGAAATTTAAGATGAGATCCGAGAGCTCTCTTATCCTCCATAGACAATTGTTTTTCCACATTTATTAAATAGTTAGTTTACCAAAAATGTATTTTTTTTTTTATTACTCGCTTTTTTGTTGTTTCAATCCATTGAATCCTTTGTTTATATCCGGAACACAAATGAGGATATTTTAAATAAAATCCAAAAGCTCTCTTATCTTTAATGGACTTATTTTTCTCCCTTAAAAGCTGTTATTTACTTTCTATTCATCACACAATCTTGAAAAATGCTTAGAACAGAACTGTTAAGCAGATTGTTTTCAACATTAATAGTACTTCTAATAATTGTATATTGTTTGAGCACTAAATCAGCATTTTAGAATGATTTGTGATGAATCATGTGACACTGACAACTGAAAAATTACATTTAAAAAAAGTAATTGCTTTTTCTGGACTTTTAGGTGAGCCTCGGAAGCAACCAGTTTCTTTTCTCTGTGCACATTGACCCCTCCGAGACACCTGCTTTCTGCTTACGACATGACGTTGATGCATTGCTCTGGCAGCCTCGTCCTGATAAGGACAACAATATCTGGGAGCACATTTCTACTTTTAATGCACTTGGTAAGGCCAGTTTTTTATTGTTAACAATGTGAAGCACCTTAAAATCCAATGTTCACCTGTAAATCTCTTAAATCATAGGAATGACAGGTTCTCTGAGTGTGCAAATGATGACCACAGACACAGCAGCTCATTCCCACAATGACAATGCAATCTACTTGAAACAAGTTAAAAGTCTTCAAAGGGGTCAAATTCCATGCCCAAATTCAAATAGACATGTCAATGCAGTACTCTGAAACTGACCCGGACACATCTATTGTTTGAAAGTTGGAGCTGGACCCATGTAGAGCTATGAAATGCCATAAGTGTGCTACCTTAAACCCTATTAATTGTAATCAGGATCCAACTGGAAAAAAAAGGCCTGATTAGACCCAGTTGGTTACGATAGGTGCAGATTCCACAACTTATTGCTATTCATTTTATTAAGTTAACTTTAACTTGTAAATCTTTACTCTTTGACATGATTCTGAGATAATTTTTAGATAATGCAGTAGCAAGATGGTATATTCCTAAGTATGTAATGTCCAGGGTACCACAGGTCCACTCAGATTAATGACTGACACTAAGGTTTAAGCAAACGTGACACTAAATGTAAAAGAAATGGAGTGGAATTCTGTGCTTCTGTGCTGTGGTGAACGGTAAATGCAGGAGCTGTCAATCAGAACAGTCAAACAAATCCAAGCACACTTCTGCTGTAAAGCTGTCCCAGATTGATCCATGCTTATTTTATCTACTCAGTATGCATGAGATTTCGTTTCTATTTGTTGAATTTTTCTAATTTATAAACACGCAATCAGGTGTTGTGATGAGCAGGCGCATCATTGGAATCTGTTTGGTTCGAGACAGTGTATTAACTTCCACTGATTTTTCGATATCAAAAACAGCTTGTTATGCTGTTTGTTGCTGTAAACTGATATTTATAATTATATTACTCTACTTTTTATGTAAAGTCATAAACACACTGTTTTGTAGAGCTAGTAGTTTGACCGTTTTCTGCAGTTTATAATTCCTAGTCATTTCTCCAATAGTCAACTAAATCAGAAGTTTCAACCTTAATTAAACTCACCTGAACCAGCTAATCAAGCTCTTCTAAGTATACTAGAAGCTTCCAGGCAGGTTTGCTGAAGGAAGTTGGAACTAAATCAGTGGTGGGCAAACTTTATAGACCCGAGGGCCACATCAACTTTTGCAAACCAAGTGAAGGGCTACATGTCAAATTCTTAAAAATATAATTTATTTATAGTGGCAGTATGCATAGAATATGTAATATCGGACAGAAACATGTCACATTAACACAAAACAGATTATTTTATATATATATTTTAGGTCAAATTTACAAGTCAAATTAATTTGCACTGCTATTTATATTTACTTTATCATTATAAAACAATAAAACAATCCCTTATATAATAATAATAATAATAATAATAATAATAATGTTATAATTTTTACAGTGGATAATAGTAAAGATATTGTCTGATAGAAAAAATCTCATATTAACATAGTTACTATTCAGTCAAATTTACAAAAAAATCTAATTAGCAAAGCTTTAAGAATATACAGATCAATCATCATAAAACTTTTTAAAGTGGGTGAATGCATGGAAAATATATTCTGACAAAAAATTAACACATTTAACCAGCAATTATTATTTAATTTGAGTCAAATGTACAAAAATCTAATTTGAGCTTTAATAAATAAGCTCATATCAATCACAAAACTATTAGATAAAATAGAAAAAGGCACAGCATATGGTTAAAACGCGAGGCACGCAAGACGCATAAGCAGCGTGAAAAACCCTCACGGCCGCTAGCAAACCATTCAAAAGAGGCACCTCTTAATGCGTAAAGCCTTTCGGTGTGATCAGCCTGACTCATTTTCAGTCATTAAGGGCGTACTCACACTATGTACAGTTGCCTCGAACCGGGCCTAAGCACGCTTGTTCCCCTTCCAATCTCCCCCGACAGCCCGCACTCACATTACAGTCAGGCCTGGGCACGCTTACATCATCAATGATGCGCTGTTCAGTAAGCGCTCTTGCTCAGCACAGTGGAGATTTCTCTAGTTATATTGCTTTAGTCCTTATGGATGCGGTGACACGCAGTCAGATATTTCGCCAAACAGATTAGCCACTTTTGATGCTCATAAAGAATCATAAAGTCCTCGTGCTGCAGGAATGAGGAGGTTTGCTGAAAGTGCGCAGCTGTGGTTTAGTGAGGGGTTTGCGTATTTAATAAACTACGGCAGTTTGCATTCACTGAACAGTAAGAATGATTAATAAATCCATATGAAACAGTCGCTTAAAACTCATGTCTCGCTTTCAGTTTCAGACTTTGGCGCGTTTTGCACTCACACACAAGTGAACCGCGCTCAGTGCACTCACACTTCTCAAACAATCCGGGAAACGGGCCTGGGCATGGTTCGGATAGCATAGTGTGAGTAGGCCCTAACAGTCAAGTGCATTTTAATATCCAAGAGTGTGTTCTAATTCTACTGGTTGCGCTAACTATACTGCATGCAAATACTGCCATCACATGGCGTTCACTTGTAATTGCATTAATTTGCTAATTCTGAACCAAACATTTACTCAGAAGCAGCATTTAAAAAAAAAACGTTGTGGGCTGGTCGTAAGTGTTCAGCGGGCCACATATAGCCCGCGGCCCGTAGTTTGCCCACCTCTGAGCTAAACTATGCACGACACCGTCCCTCCAGGATCAAGTTTGGGCACCCCTGTTCTAAAACAAATGAGCTCACTTGCGCATTAAAGAATGAGATCAATAGCTTTAGGGAAAACATGCAACTCTGTATTCATTTTAAGATGCAATGTTAATATTGAGTAATGAAATATATAGTATATGTGCCAATTTTAATTTTTTTTTGCACGGTATAAAAAAAATTTACATTTAAATACTATGTTTAAAAAATAAAAAATAAAATGGCACATATGCTATTAAACATACTACCACCATGCCTAAAAGGATAGTTCAACCAAAAACTGAAAATGGGTGAAAACATATATTCACAAAATCCACAACAAAAAAAGATATTCTGAAGAAACTTGATACTGGTAACCATTTGTTTTTTCTTACTGTGGATGCCAATTGTTTCTAACATTCTTCAAAGCATCTTTTTATGGTGTTCAACTGAATAAAGAAACTCATAAGACACTCAAACAAAAGTGTTTCAGAACCACTGCTAAGAAATAATTTTATGTGAACTATGCCTTTAACAAGAGTTGTTGCATGATTCATTTAAATATGCTTCTCTCATGAATGCTGCATCTGAATTGTAATCTACTTCAAGTTTATAAAATAACTCAATTAAAGCAATGTACTTCTCTGCATTTTTTGTAAATCTTGACAGTATTTTAAACACATTTTTTATTTAAAGGTGCTGTATGTAAGTTTTTGACTTTTATAAAGCATACAAATACCCTAATATGTTTGCAGATATTTAAGAAACATTCTATGTAAACCTTTTTGTTTATCTGAAAAACAATGCTTAAGTCAGATATTCTGTTTTGAAAAAGTGCATTACATGCCAATACGTCTGTCTTTGTTTTGGTTATTAAACACGCCCACTGGCAGTTTAGCCAATTATATTTCAGCCACCCAGGTTGCCTTGGTGAAAAAACGTGTATTTCATTCTTTCAGTCATGAAGGCTCTCAAAGTATGCATCTGTGACCAAAATGGGACCTCCGGTGGACAGTAGCAGACACTGAAATGAGGTGCAGATGCAGAGTTCTACAAGAGGAGGTTATGAATTAGCAAATAATATAGATATCACAAATGTAAACATTAGGTGGGTAGGTTATATTGTAACCCCGTGTCCTAACAACACTCTACGTAACGAGATTTGCAGTGATAAGGATTTTGAAGTCATAGGTAACTGTTTGCACCTGACGAAACACAATAGACATTTAAATACAGCAGTTCAGAAGCACAAAATAGTGCACTTACTGCATACCAACAGTAAGTAAGGTTTAAAATCTGAGGTGAACTATCTGCTGCTGATTTCAGTAGTATGACTTTACATGCGTAAAACGGCATTCAGACTCACATTATTAGCAATTAACACTGAATACAGCACATGAGGTGTACCTGAGCTGATCATTGTTATAGTTTTCGGTTGTTCAGCTGCAAAAAATAGTAAAAAAAAAAAAAGTCATTTCTAAAATGGAAATTTTAGGTGTTGGTTAGGACAAAAACTCCTTTTAATATGGAAAATATTTCCTCTATCGCATGCCCTTGCTTTTATTTAGAGCATGGTTTAAATCAGCTTTAAATCAGCCTCGACAGTCAGGCAAACTGCTTTTGGTGTCATCAATAACCAGGTGTGTAATTCCTAGTTTAAGCACTAGGTGTCAAACTTACATACTGCACCTTTATTCGTGAGCTGTTCATAAATCTGGCCCAGTGTTTGCATCCATCTCATCTTATACATTAAGTCCTCATTCTTTGCTCTTTTCTCTCACTAGGTTATGTTCAGGCTTCAAAACGAGATAAAAAGTTTGCCACCTGTGCCCCCAACTTCTCCTACGCTGCCCTTTGTGAGTGCCTCAGACGCATCTTCATTTATCGCCAGCCCTCGCCGGTCGACACGGTGCTCTTCAACCGGAAACAGGGTCGCCAGGTTGGTCAGGTTGCCAAGCAGCAGGTAGCCAATCTAGACACCAATGACCCCGTACTGGGATTCAGAGCCACTAACGAAAGACTCTTTGTCCTGACTTTAAACAACCTGTTTGTGCTGAAAGTGAACAATTAAGATTCCCCAGCAATACTTCTAATCTAGGTTTCAACTTATCCGGCACATTTCAGAACCAGGTTGGTATGACTTTTTCTAATGTACTAGTGTAAACAATGCCTCAGTACTTGTCTTTATATGTAAAACATCAGGTTTGAAATCTATGCTCATCTGCTTCTCTGAAGGCACAATCTCTAGCCTGAATGTTACACTGCATTCCATTAGAATGTTTAGATACATAAAATAAATAAGCATCTGTAAGACCATGTCTGTTTGGTTTTCTGCTATTAGCGTTCTTTCTATCTGACCGCAATCAGTGGAAAAGTTACCATTGTTGTGTTCCCTGCAGACCATGACCCCATCAGAACAAACCTGCGACCCTTTTTGACAAAGCAATTATTTCAGCAGACATGAGTCAGCAGTCAAAGATCAGCAGATACCAAATGCCATGAGACCGCATCACAATTGGACAGACAGACAGGTGTGACATGTAAACTTGTCTATACTGCTTGATCATAGGTTTAAAATAACGATTGATCCCACTTTACAGTATATTCAGTGGCTTTAATTGCAGTGTAATTACATTTAAATTAATCATTTAGTAAAATGATGTACAACACATATGTTTTTACATTGTTCTAATGTTTTAAAAACTTTATGATTGTAATTACATCTGTAATTAATGTCTGTAATTACATTTAGAATTACACTGTTGACCTTACCTTAAACCTACCCATATCCCCAGACCTGTCACTAACTCTAGCCATATCCCACTTTTAGGGCCACCATTAAGCTAATGTGACCCATTTTCTGATTGAAGTAAATAGTAATTAAGGCCATTTAAGGCTGATTTATACATCTGCGTCCGGCACATGCTCCGGCACAGCCTTAACGATGGTCACATAGCCCTCATTGTGGCTGACACCAACCCTGACATGCTTGTGTTTCAGAAGTGTTATTGCAGAGCAATAGAAGTATACTGTAAATGCACTGCATTGCACAATGCATGCAGCGTGGGTCACCCCGATCACTCGATGCAGAAGTATAAACCAGGCTTTAATGTAAAACAGGATTTAATAATTTGATTAATTAAAAAAGTTTAAGTTTTATACACTCCACAACTTGCGCATTGTGGTAAAGCATATATTCTCATTTACCGTTCACTTGGTATTCTCATTTACTATCTGCATTCATGCTAGATTGTAATTTTGCTTTCACAACAACAAATCAGTCATAGTAGCAGACAAAAAAAGACAAGGAGCTGGCCGCGGCGACGACCAGGTTCGAGTCCGGGTAAGAGTGGTTCCAGAAATCAGGTAAGACAAAAAACAGAAACCAAAAAATAAAGCGAACGAGTTCATAACGGGGCAAGAATGCGGTGAAATCTGAAAACGTGGTCAAGTCAGACAAGGGCTTTTCTTTTTCTGGACAGCTTTTGTAAATTGTGGATTGTGTTTAGGGAAGGATGAGGGTGGCTGGGTCGGGCGATTGGCTGGCTGCCTAGTCAATCATTCAGTTAGTAAGTCAGTTGGTCAGACGGTCGCTCGATAGCGACCTCCGGTGGCTTTTTATGCGATTACAGCGCGGGCGCAAACGGTGCGCACTCGCGAGAGGCGTTCGAGATGCGAAAAAGCGCACACAGCGAAAACATAAACTGCACAAAAACGCACCTCCCGGAATGTATTTCGCGGTCTCTAGAAACTTCCGCGGGGCTAGGTTTCCAGAATGAGCCTGGGTTGCAAGATATCATGTATCTGGAAAGTAAACACGGGATTAAGGTTTTTTTTATTCAGCTTTTTCTAGCAATTTTACAATTTATTGCAGTATTTAGAATGCTTTAAACAAACATATTTTACAGCTTGAGCGCCTGCATTTTGTTGTTTTCTAATGAGGGTTAACACATTTTATTTATTATTTTCTATCATTTATTTCCAACGTTATTATAAAAATGTTTACATGGCATAAATGTTATAATAATGAAATGGTTAATTGTAAGTTAATAAATATGTTATTCAATTAGTAAAATAGGCACAATATGTCTTATCTCACTCAGTAACCCACTGTATTAAATTTTAAATGTATCCCAGGATTTTAGGAAGTGTCAGAAAATATTGCATCACTGACCAAAAAAGATTGTTGTGTGATAAAATGCCTGGTTTACACCTCTTTTATACTCTTTCAACACGTTTCACATTGTGTACAAACACTGTTTTTGCAATTTCACATTTCAAATGCCAAAAATTTTATAATACATGTTAAAGTCAATACTTACACTTAAATCCAATGATTAACCTTTTAATTGAGTTAAATTTACTATAATTGAGTAAAACTTAAGTAGCCTGGGGATAATGTAAGACATTATGCAGTATGTTACTGTATTTTAAAGTTACATTGTAAAAAATTACTATATAATTTACAGTAAAGATATACTATACTGTAAATACATGTATAGTATGATACTGTAAATGGTCTGTAAATGTAAATGCAGTATTTTTGCTGTGATTGATTTACAGTAAGTTTCTTTAGATCAGGAATCTCAAACTGCCGGCCCACAGGCCATTTATGGCCAGCTCTCCTGCTCCCTCCCGCCTGCAACTGACATCAGAAATATAATGCGATTCAGCCCGCCATAACATATATTTTTGAACCACTATCAGTCTGTGCAGTCGTGTCTAGCCACTTGTGGTTTTGACCCACCACCTAGTCGACATTTATAGTACTGCATAAAGATTAGTTTTACTTTTATTTTCTCTCAGTGTATGGTAACACACATGCGTTTTATTTCTGTGGCTGATTAAAACGTTAAAATATATGTCCTTCATGGCTTACATGTTATGCCGGTAGTGAAACAAATATGACAACTTTGCCAATATTCAATTCAATTGGTCTCATTTAATATATTTTTCTTTTTTTCATACACACAACAACCACAGATGTTGAAGTCCCAATTATTAGCCCCCCTGTTTATTTTTTCCCAAAATTTCTATTTTAACGGAGAGATTTTTTTCAACACATTTCTAAACATAATAGTTTTAATAACTTTTTTGTAATGTTTGCCATGATGACTGTACATAATATTTTACTAGACATTTTTAAGACACTTCTATACAGCTTAAAGTGACATTTAAAGGCTTAACTTGGTTAATTAGGTTAACTAGGCAGGTTAGGGTAATTAGGCAAGTTATTGTATAGCGATGGTTTGTTCTGTAGACTATCGAAAAAATAAATAGCTTGAAGGGGCTAACAATTTTGACCTTGAAATGGTTCTAAAAAAATTTAAAACTGCTTTTATTTTAACTGAAATAAGACAAATAAGACTTTCGCCAGAAAAAAAAATATTATCAGACATACTGTAAAAATTTTATTGCTCTGTTAAACATCATTTGGAATATATTTAAAAAAAGAAAAAAAAAATCAACTATATTTCTGCAGCTGATGTGTGATACGATAAACGTGCTGATTTGCATTAACACTGGTGACAGGTAATGCTTGAAATTGAAACGTCATGTACGTTATGCTAAGATGCATCAATTACCTTAGGCTTCCACTTTTTTCTTGTGCTTGAATGTTAGAATGGCCCTCTTATGAATTGTCAGTCACTGAAGTGACCCCCTGCCAATTTGACAGTTTTCTTCATTCTAGTTTTTTCATTCTACCATGCAAAAATGTCTAATAATTTGATAAGCTATATCTTTTGCAAATATTTAAGAAACAGAAAGCTGGCTTCTTTGTGTCCCTCAATTAGATTGCAATTAATCAATTAAACATGTCTGATGTCCATACTTGTATAATACTTAACCTCTTAATGATTTCTTAGTTGATGATTGTCTAGGGGTTATTTTGACCTGTTTGTCTAGCCCGTTGTGTTTTTGTTCTTCGTCTTTCTTTGTTTCGTACATTTCAAATATAATTTGTCAGTATCCAAAGGGATGTGCCTGGGAGATAGATCCGTCTTGGCTGTTTTGTTTAGTGGCGTGAACCTTATTTGTTCAGGCCTCCAGATTAAATCACGTTTTTGTGATTAAATTAGCCTGTGAGGTTGGGATTCATTATCTGCACCAGAATCAATGGGCAGCTGAGAGGAAGATCTCCAAGTTCTTTTAATGCATGTGGAGATGTTGCTTTCTGACTGTGGTGTAAATGGACTGTCATTATCAGCAGATGCTCTTAGATCAGATTCTTTATATTTAGATTTTTAGCAAATACATGTATATTCCCAGTAAAGAGACTCATTGGAAATGCATCCTTCAGCTACATTATTTTACATTAAACATGCTTTACTGCAGTTTGTAGATAAAATGGAGGCTACGGGGCAGTGTGATGCCTACAACTTTTGTTTTGTTTTACACTAATGCTATTTACTGGACATGTTATCAATATACGTAAAGGATAATTTTCATGCAGTTATTTACACAGAGGCAAATGAATACCACAAAAAAAAACTAATGAAATCTGAGAACTATAATCAAGTAGGTTTGGTTTTAAAATTGAGCAATATAACACTCGTAGCAGTGCAATATGGCTGTATATCGGCACTGGTAGGAGGCGTTCATTAGTGTCCCACCAGTGATGATATACAGCCATATTGCACTGCTACGAGTGTTATATTGCGTTTTACAACAGTTTGATGCCATAATGATGTATAAAGAAAATCAAACACTGAGAGTCTAATCATTTTGTATGAGTGACTACTTTCTTCCACCATTCACATCTGCAGCTGACGTCAGAACAGCAGAAATTGTTGCTACTTCACAAATGTCACTTTAGAGTCATTGTTTTAATGATTATCTAGCGTAATTTCTAAAGTGACAACAAAACAGGTGATTTTGTTGACATTTTAAGATTATAAGGCTGAACAGTATGAAATGCCATCAGTCTAGAGACATTTCCCAGTATTTCTCTGTTGCAATCGATAGATTACAATAATTAACCATGAAAAAGGCAAATCGCACTTGAAGAAACACTACCAGACCATAGTATAAATACAGCACTACAACATACAAAAGAGAAAAGTTGACTAAGAATGTCACTTAGCTGTTTTATAATGATTTGATCAGTTTAGTTTGAAATTACGCAAATGAGTTTAAAATGAAATGAGTTTTTCTCCTCTTAGGGCTTATAATGTGGTCTCTGTTGCCATCTTGTGGCGGAACGTCAACCATCTTTACTCTGCTGTTATTGCAAAATATTGCACAGTTATCAGCCAAACAGATTCGAGAACCAGACAGAACTGTTGTATAAAGGGTTTAGGTCAATGTTTTGCTCA